TATCAGAGAACTATAGTTATTTTCTTTGGAAATATGTTTTCTGATGCTGAAAAATTCCAAAACTTTCCTTATACATTTAAACAATGCAGTACTATCACGTTCATATAAACCTATAGTCAAAAGCACTGCCAGGTCTTTTAATCAGCCTAAAGTATGAATGATTGTGATTATAACTACCTGTTAAGTTTTCATGAGTAAGTTTCACAAACACAAATAAATTTTCTAAGTCAGTAGGATATCATTCTGGTTTGTGTCAAATGAAAACAAAATGGAAACTTCCAAGGAAAGAGTGAAATAAGTAACAAACACAACACTATTCTTTCTTAGCTAGTGAAAGGAGAGTGAATGTAGTTTTGGAATTGTGAATGTAAAGTCTTTTAATGAAGAATTCTAAAAGTTTACAACAGAAAAAATAAAAGGCATGGGATGTTAAAAGAATAAAAATTCTTCTCACTAATACAAATGACACCAGTTATGTGCTGGGTAGACATGCAATTGTATCTTAAATAACCAAGTGAGCTCATTTTTTATAGAGTACAAAACCTCCAACTGTCAATCAAAGTATAAATTCTAGAAGCACAAACTGAACGTGAAAGGAAAGTATTTAAAATCAAGAGTTGTCATCAATCACTTTCTTAAATTGGAAGCACAGAGAATAAAAATGGTAATGGGTCATATCCTTTCAAAATCCACGCTGACCTTTCTTAGCCAACGTAAGATCTAACTGGAATATGTGATTCCAATGAGATCATCCCCAGAACACTGTATAAATATCCTTGCTATGGTCTGACTTCGACTTTATAATAATAAAAATAAAGTGTAGGTACCAGAGTGTGGACTTGAAGTAAGTGTGGAAGAAGGTGTGCCAAGAAAAGCAGGTGTCTGGGTTTCAGAACATAAGGCAGCAGGAGCAGAGCCTGGGGCTTTTGCTATGTGGAGGTTACGAGGTGTTGAGTGAGCTGTGAGACTGATGGAAGGGCTTTTGACAGAGGAAGTTGTTTTATTCAGTTTCATTGAAGTTTTCTCTCCTTCAGTATCACTATCTGATTCATCTTGGTCTTTATCATCATCATCATCTTCTTCTGATCCTTCTGTATCTGATTCTGAATTACTATCTGATTCTGGGAAGTAAAAGAAGCATTTGTATATTATAACTAGATAATGATCAACAGTTTTCAGTTTGTATCCAAATGGATAAAGTTCAGGAATCAGCATCTGTGACTGAGAACTCAAATAAGCAGCTATCCTGAGAGCAGATGTAAAAATTACTATTTTGTAAGCCACTTGAGAACAATGTATGCAAGCTCTAAATCCTCAAAATTCTTCATTGAAAGTATCGATTTTATTCAACATTTTAATTATAAAATCAGTTCTTCTCACATGACACTATTTAAATGATGGGTTTTGCTTAATGATTAAAAAAATCACTTGAAACTATGTGGAAAGACTCAAGAATAAAAGGAACAGGATGTATTATTTAATTGATTCTAATGGCTTCATAAGTATACAAGAAGTTTATAACTGCTATAATCCTTTTATCTGGGCATTAAGGCAAAATAAATTCTTTTTGGAGAGATTCTTGACTTTTTTGGCAATAGCTTTCTAAAAATTCATATGCAAGGCTTTTATCAAATTTCTCAGTCTTCACAAAAGAATATGCTTATAGAAATATCTGCACAGGATACTTTACTAATTTAATAACTTGTTTATTACAATTATATTTTCCTATAACGGCATTTGCTTTTACAGATATGTAGAATCTATTCCTGGATTAAAATTGATAAACATAGGACTGGTACTTGGGAGTGTATCTTAACAGTTGTAGAATTATAGCTTCTGTGGAAATGTGTTTTGTGTAACAGTATCTACCTATACTGAAATAAATACATGAAAAAATTAGTCTTTAAAAGTTATTGATACTGATAATCATTATATCTCATGCAAAACTGTGTTCATGGGGAGCTGAAGGAAAATACCGGGATCAACTGTTCTTACCTTGAATAAGAAGCTTTTAAAAATCTTATGGACTCTTTAAATTGTACAACTGTATTTTTCTATTTATACAGACTGTCAGAAAAATATTCAATTAGATCTGTTGCTATCCAACTAAAATATATCTGTGGCTGTCAAATTAAATATCTTCCAAAATGTATACTTTCATATTAAAATTTTAACCTATCATATGTTTTATGACCTCAGTCTTCTATGGTACAAGAAGAAGAGTGAAGGAGAAGAAAAGGGTTAAAACAAAACAAAACACAAAAGTAGAAAGTGAAATCAAAATTAAATCTGGGAGTATTTTCATATGTTACTTAATAAATTTTGTGCTGCTGAGTGACAGTTATAGGTATTTAGGTTCTTGGTACTATCTGAATGTCTGTGATTAGAATTTTTACCTATGTTAAAAATATCTAGTGAAACATTTAGCAAGTAGAAGAAATAAACATCAAAATGGACAAATGAGTGGTCTAGGGTAAAACATTAAGTTTGTGAAATTATTTCTTAGTTTATACATACTTTATATTCACTTTATCACTATTATTTGCTTAAGCTAAATGAATAAAAAAATCTGACAATTTAACACAGGATTTCCAATTTCTTACCGGCTCTTTATAGAAAGGTGCAAAACAATGAATGATAATGAGTCTAAGCCTGTGAATTTAAAACAGCTCTAAGATGTTTTAGTTCACTCAGCATTTAAAGAAAATTTAGAAGAAAATAACCTGTTTGGCTGTCATCAGATTCATCATCTTCATCATCTTCCTCATCTTCTTCCTCATCATCTTCCTCTTCATCTTCATTTGAATCTTCAGAATCTTTACTACTGGGAATGTCTGAATCTGTTCCTCTAAACTGTTCCACTAAAGATTTTCCAGGATGAGAATGATGCTGTGACTTTACTGTATTTACATTATTGCTAACTGCTTTTTCCTTTCCTTGACTATGCAAGATGGGAGAAGCAGAGGGCATTGCAGTTGTCTGGTTACCAGGGGTTCTTCTCCCACTTGTACTCAAATTTACAGGTGAGGAAAAAGGAGTACTACTAGCAGTAGCAATGCTTTCATTAATCTTACTCTGCATTTTGGTTTTGGTAATAAGTGCTAGAGGAGCTTCTTGAATGACACTTTGAATAACACCATTTGGCTGATGATTACCTAAAAGTGCATTTGTCAAGAATGGATTAGGGTGGCTGTTTTCTAATATTTGTTTTGGATGTGCTGGTGAACTAGAGGTTGCTTTTGGATTTGACAAAGCTGCAATAACCTTCTTCAGGCTCTTAGATGACTCTGGTTTCTTTAACTGCGCTGGGAATGTCTGTTTAAATTGTTCCTATTGAAACAGAAGTTAAAAAACAAAAGAATGTATCATAAGAACAAAGATCACTTCCCTCCCTTCAACTTCTGCCAGATGCATATTGTATTCTCATAATTGTTTTACTTTTATGAAATGTCCTCCTCATAACTTTAAGGTTAATAAAATTCTATTCATTTAAACAATCTAAGCAAAAAATGCTCCAAGTTGTCTCAACCAAAATCATTCATAGTCTTTCTCTGTTAAAATACTTTACCTCCTTCATTCTATTTGATACTACCTGTGGTATACATGATATGGCTCAATATTTTAAGGGCTCTGACTCTAGAGTATTTTTAGCACATTAGCACTGGGAATACCATAATAAAACAATTTAGAAATGCAAATTTTTTTGGAAAATAAATAAAGTAAAAAGTAAAGGCCCTCCCGTTGATCATCGATTTGCTCGAGCGGGCCCAGTAACGTCTCCATTGGAGACTTTGTTGTTACTGTGTTTGGCATATCGAATACGTCACGGGGAGCTTGCCAGGCTCTGCCGTGTGGGCGAGATACTCTCAGTAGCTTGCCGGGCTCTCCGAGAGAGGCGGAGGAATCGAACTCGGGTCGGCCATGTTGGCTGCGTGCAAAGCAAATGCCCTACTGCTGTGCTATCGCTCTACATAAGGTAATTAAACAACAGAATTTGCAATTGTAGAAAAGAAAAATTTGCTCTGGTCACCTTTTTGAAAAGAAAATAATTTAAGATAAAGGAAGTAAATGATTATAACACTTTAAATAAATTTTTAAAACGGAAATTAAATTTTGGATAAAATTCTGTACAGTAATCGGTAGTGTAGAAATGAAAATCTGCATTGCTGTTAGCATCAATCTCAGGCTCTTAACACTGAAGCCAGCAAAGATCTGTACAGAGTATCACAAGTACAAATGCTGACTAAATACCTTATTAAATATTTTTAGTTCCAGACTAATAAGTAGCAAATATAACATATAACTAATAAGTAGCATCCATCTATTCTTCATATTATTTAACGGGCCATTTTATTTAGAAAAAGAACTTGAGATAATTATTTCTAAACAAAGACATATTATTTGTACCTAAGGCAATACTCACAACAGAAAATGCTTAATTATATTTACGCATTGAACAAAACGGTACATAATAGTAAGTACTATGTTTACAAATTAAAAAATTCTATGAAAATTTAAAAAGTAGTCTAATATTAAAATTCTAAAAAATTAAAAAAATTCTACAAAAATTTAAAAAATATTCCAATATATGTAAATGTTCATATACTATATAAATTTTAGACATCACACACAAGTACATATAATTCAGTTATACTTCATATTACTTAGATACTGAATTAAATAATTTATAGGAAATTTAGTTATTTGTATGAATTTAAATATAGGTATGCGACGTTAATTGCATACTTTCAATATAAGTAAAATTTTTTTCTAAAGAAAGAGGATCAAAAGAGTCATGAAAACAACCTTCCCTTTCATTCTGTTTTGTGCTTTAATTTTCTGAAATTTCTACTTACATTATATTTCTGGAGAATCATTTCAAACTAATACCAAAAGGTTTTCCAGATCAGGGGACCAGATGTGGTGGCAGGATCGAATTAGGGTCTGCCACAAGTAAAGCAAGTGCCTTACTCCCTGTACTACCCCCCCACCCCCAAGACTAGTGTCAATTATTTTTTTCACAGCAAATATATCTTTTTGCGCAGGGGCCATGCTAATCTTCTCTGTATCGTTCCAATTTTAGTATATGTGCTGCAAAGTTAAAAGAAAGAAAACTTAGATCTGATTATAACCACTGTCTTGCTCCAAATGGATAAAAGAATAGGTAAAGAGATATGCTCAAAGCTCTGTCGTAACTCTCAGCTTTTGTTGTCCCAACTCCAGTTTGAATCTTTTCAGAAGACACACACAGAAAATTTCAAATGAAACTTGGTATAACTCTCCTGAACTGTGTAGTTAATTTCGAACGTTCGGAATTAAATGTCAATATTATAAAGGTATGGAATATTATAAAGACATGGAAAAGAGTCAATGATTGCATAGCTCTCAAGAAAATCAAAGGTTAGTAAGAAAGCAAGTCATACACAGTTAGGATCAAACAATTCTGATTTCTGGGGCTGGACAGATAGAACAGGGGTTAAGGTGCTTGCCTTGGTCATGGCCCACCCCAGTTTGACATCTGGCAGCCAGATATCAAAACCAAGTAGCCAATAAGAAGCAAAGTCATTTAGATTTAAGTCTAATGTGAAAAAGCTCATTCACATAAAATATTTCTCATCATCATTATCTTTCCAGAATACACAATATTTTATCTTAATAATGAGGTTTGAAATTGGAATAACCTTGGTAGATAGCCCTTGAACTCCAAATTTGTTATCAATAGTTGGAAACAGTAACTTCTTCCAGATTTGTTTCTTTACCTTACAGCTGTGCAAGGATTTGATAGATTGGTTGTGTATCATAGCACTTAAGAAAATGTTTAATAAATGCCTAACTGGCAGCCATACAGAATTCTTTAAAAATATTAAACATTTAAGAAACTCGTTGAAAAAAATTAAGACATCTTTTATAATGCTAGTAACGTTTTATATATCTCTGTAAATTCAAAACAAAAAACAAACAAACACTATCCACCCATAGTTCATTGATTTTTTCTGGCGGGCCCAGTAACATCTCCATTGGAGACTTTGTTGTTACTGTGTTTGGCATATCGAATATGTCATGGGTAGCTTGCCAGGCTCTGCCGTGCGGGCGAGATACTCTCAGTAGCTTGCAGGGCTCTCCGAATCTTTAGCAGTATTTATAGATTTTAGCAGTATTTATAGATTTATAGATTAGGGTCTAATAGGGGAAAAACTGGTTTAGCACTTAAAACAAGGACTGAGAAATAGCAGTAATTGACACCCCTCTTGGGGAGCCCAGTAAGCTACCGAGAGTATCTCGCCCACACGGCAAAAGCCTGGCAAGCTACCCATGACGTATTCGATATGCCAAACACAGTAACAACAAGTCTCACAATGTTACTGGGCCTGCTTGAGCAAACTGATGAACAATGGGAGGACAGTAACAGTGATAGTGATGTCAACTACTGGTAAGTGTGCTTAGTAATAATTTTTGTAATAAAACAAAGAGGATAAGACCGAAAAATGAAATATTGCTGTTTCCTCTATTCTTAGCTAGTTTTAAAATAAAAAGCACTGGTTATTTACTCATGTGAGTTATAATGTACATATGAGTATAAATTATACAAAAAAATAAAATTGGTAACAGGAAAACAAAGGTGAAAAATTCTCTGATGAGTGTCCCTGGTACGTGTATAAATAAAAGTTACTAAAATTATTTTATTTCGCACATAATTCAGTAAGAGTGACAAAAATGGGCTGGAGGGATAGTTTAGGTACTTAGTTTGTATAAGCCTCACTTGATTTGATTCTTACCACTGCATATGGTTTCCCCAAATAATGCCAGGAGTTCTGGGCACAGTATGTGTGTGCCACCATCCCTCCATGAAAAAGAATGTTAAAAGAATTTATTAAGAACATCTACAGTTAGAATTATATATCGTAGGCCCACAAAGGAAAATTACTCAAGGCTTTATTAGTTTTACTTTTCAGGTTCACTATATACCTCGGAGCTTACTGCTAGCTCTTGTGCAGGGACCACGACTAGAGGAACTTGGCGGAACACAAGGGTGACAGAGATTGAACCTGGGTAGATCACAGGAAGGCAGTCTCCCTGCCCATTGTATTATTGCTCTGGCCCCAAGAATTAAATTCTTTAAAAAATACACACTGATATTAGAAAAAGACACTAATTTTAAATGAAAGTAATGTGAAATTTGTCTTATTCAAATTTATTTTCCTACTTACAGATAAAACAGGGAATCTGTTGGGGGAAATTACATGCTTGATATATTGCCCCAAATATATTAAATGTATTCCTAAATAAAAATGAGAGAAACCTAATTTTGTGACATTCTATCCCTGGTGATTAAAAAAGTACAATAAAGAGTGGGATTTAAATTTTTATAAGATTATATAAAAGCTCTTTTATTAACAACAAAATATTTTCTTCATTTTTACTTACCCGTTTGGATCGCAATTCACTGGTTAAAAGACTAGATTCTTCAGAGGTATTTTTATTCCCTGCTTTAAGTACTTCAGGAGAAGGAACTATGAGCTTCATATAAGTTTCCTTTTTGGCTTGATTTACCAAAGATAAAGGTTTCACATTGGACACCAATCCCGTAGACTGTATTACACTTGTGTGTTTGTTCACAGATTCCTCCTTTGCCTGAGAGCTTTGGAAAATAAATGGAAGCTGCTGTGACAAAACCTGAGGCTGCTTCTGCTGGGATTGGAATGATGAGTGAGTCTGGGATTCAGACACAAGAGGTAATGGCTGGTGTATTCTTTTTTCCTGGGCTTTTTCAGTTGCTTTCTGTCCATCTGCTTTTGGGTCTGAAATACTATGTAATAGCACCTGTAAATAAAAAATGGTAAGTCAACTTCTTAATATTTATTATGATAAATACACAAAGTGCTAAATTTGAAGGGAAAGAAAGGGTACCCTAGAAAGTGTTTGTAATAATTTCGTAGGTAAATTTCACACACACACTCTCACATACACACACGAAACAACAACAACAACAACAACAACAAAACAATTTTTTTTGTTATACTAGCTTTTTTCCTTTAATTTGTTACACTAGCTCTTATTGTTTCTCATGCAATTTGAGAATTAAGAGCAAAGCAGTGATTAAAATTTATAGAAAGAAAGTTAAGATACAGCAGCTAATTCCAAAATATAAATATTATTTGAGAAGCGGCAAATAAATTATACCTGGTTGTTACTTTTATGTTGTGCTTCACCCTCTGAATCAGAATCATCATCTTCACTTTCTTCAATACTTTGATCTTCTTCATCATCTTCCTCTAGATCATCTGAATCACTACTACTAATGCCTTCACTTGTGGTATCTGATGATGTGCCAGAATCACTATCGCTGTTGCTAGAACTTTCCATCGTTTTCTTCCTTGGTTTCTAGATAAAGACAAGAGTTTTGAGTTAGACTTTATGTTTAGAAAAATATTTCCAGTTTTATTAAGAGGCATACTCTTTTCAACTTCAAATGACATTTTCAATCTCAAATTTTCATTCTAGGGAAAAATTAAAAGTCACAAGCTATTAGGGTAATTACTTAACAAACTGGAACAATGGTGGAAAAGAACACTCTGGACAGTGGTGGAGGGAAGTAGGCATGCTGGGGAGAGAGGTGATGGACTAGTCTATGCAAGAAACCTCATTAATAGTCTCGTAAACCACAGTGCCTTGAAAATAATTAAAATTCCTGAGAATCTTTAACATCTAAACAAAACAATATGCTCAAAAATTTAAAATAAATATAAAAATTACTCTTCTCATCTTTATTAAAACTTTACAAATAACAGTTTATTAATTTCCCTTTATCCAATAGAGAAAAGTGTGAGTGGAGCCTTCTTTTATACTTTTTTTCATTTTTTATAATTTTATTTATTGAATCACCGTGAGAGCAGTTACAAAGCTTTTGGGTCTAAGTCTCAGTCATACAATGAAACACCTGTACCTTCACTAGTGCCCATTCTCCACCCCCAACACCCCCAATATACCCCCATCCCACACCCTCCCCCTACCTGTGGGGCAGATGATTTCCACATTACTCTCTCTCTACTTTGATCACATTCAGTATTTTGACCTCAGACCCACCATTATTATTTGAGATTAACCCCGACACTCAGATCTGCTGAAAAGGCAACAGTAGACAATTTGTTTTCTATTGCTGGTTATGAATAACATATGATGTCGCGTGTCCGCAGTAGTGGTCGCGAGATTTTGAAATTCCGAAATTTTAACACTTAAATCTGGAGGGATTTCTGCCAAAACCTGCTGGGTTCCGAGATTTGCTCCTGAGTCTCTGGGATCTTGGCCGTTAAGCAGCTTGATCAGGAGCCAGAAAGGCTGTTCGTGGGCAATGACTTTGGGTCTTACTGGGTTGGGGAGGACAGGACCGGCTCCACCCCCATCCCGTGAGGCCCAAAATGTCTCGTCACTGTGGGCCCAAACCTGGCTGTCCAATGGCCTCTAGAGGATGACAGTCACCGAGCCACCGGGGGAAGCAGGCAGAGGGACAACACCCTTTCCCCCCTGGGGTGGCCTGGCGACAGTAACCTACTGCGGGTTCCAGACGCATTTCTGCCAAAAGCCGCTGGGTTTTGAGATTTGTTTCTGAGTCTCTGGGATCATGGCCGTTAAGCAGCTTGATCAGGAGCCAGAAAGGCCAGTCGTGGGCGATGACTTGGGGTCTTGCTAGGGTGGGGAGGACAGGACTGGCTTCACCCCCATTCCGTGAGGCCCAACAAGTTTCGTCACTGCGGGCCCAAGCCTGACTGTCCAATGGCCTCTGGAGGATGATGGCCAACGAGCTGCCAAGGGGGAGCAGGCGGAGTGACAACACCCTTTTTCCTCTGGGGGGCCCGGCAACAGTAACCTATTGTGGGGTCCGAATGCATTTCTGCCAAAAGCCACTGGGTTTTGAGATTTGTTTCTGAGTCTCTGGGATCATGGCCATTAAGCAGCTTGATCAGGAGCCACAGAGGCCGTTCATGGGCGATGACTTGGGGTCTTGTTGGGGTAGGGAGGACAGGACCAGCTCCACCCCCATCCCGTGAGGTCCTGTGTGTCTCGTCACTGTGGGCCCAAACCTGACTGTCCAGTGGCCTCTGGAGGATGGC